AGGGGCTGATCCCGTCACTATGATCACCCACTCAGATGAATTCTTAGACTGTCCCAACATACCCAGGTTTTGACCCCCGCTAAGGATCTCACTGATTGGCATATCAAAGACACCCCAATCCGACACCTAGTGCAGTACCATAATTGGGTCTAGGGGTCAAGTGTAACTTTCCAGTTTTGCCCATCAATCTCCAAGGTCCAGGGCAATACTGGAAATTTGGTCCGGTTCAAGGGTTCAATTAATCCTACAATGCATGTGCCTTGGGTCTCACCCTGGCGGCTGAGACAAGCCACCCCAACAGTTGGCAGAACACCAGTGTCAGCCTTGGCAGGATAAATCTCCCCAGACTTATCCAATGGCTGTGAACATTCAAAACCAACACAAATCTCATTAAGTGTCCAGTTTTAGGATCTTACACAGAAATATACCACACAACATGAATCAAACATGTACTTTTATTTACATTAAATATCAAAAGTACATCAAACCTAATTGAAGCTAAGGGCATACAAAAACTGTCCAACACATATTACATCTAAATGCCCCACTAGATCACCTAAGGGAAACTATTCTAGAGGGAAGAAGAATCTACATAGGGCCTAACAGACCTCGGTTGAAGGATTAGATGACACGTCATTCTCTACTACACCAACAAAGGAAGATGGTCCTATTGTTATGACAAAAGAGAAGATCAAACATCTCATGTCCTCGGTAATTTCCTTTGCTTCTTCTTTCGGCCTATCGGGTGAGTTCACCTATTATTGTTTTTCACCTAATCATCTCCAGATCATTGATTCTAGCAACTCCAATCATATGACAGGGGGCATTTGTGGTCAGTCTTCTTATCCTTTCTCTACTGATAAGCACATTGTTACAGCCAATGGTGAGAAGCTCACTACCAAGTACTAGTATAATATCAATTGGTCATCTTGTTGAGCATGGTAATACTCTCACCTTCTCATATGATGGTTGTTTGATATAGGACCAACACACTAGGGAGGTGAAAGTGCGTAGATTGAGATTACTCTTTGCTCTGGAATTCGAGAGGAAGCCAACTTCTACTACTACTACTACTACTACTACTACTACTATTACTACTAGTTCCTCATGTAACATCTTGTAATAATGATTGGAACTTGAACTTGTGACATCGCGATTTGGGCCATCCTTTTTTGAAGAAGCTTGGTTCATTTTTCTCTTTTGGATGTTTACCTTCGTCTGCCTATACTTCAAAGAATGTTGATAAAACTTGTATATCTTGTTGTTTAAGTAACAATCATGTTCTACCATTTCCTATTTCAATTATACATGCTACTACTCCTTTTCAGTTATTGCATAGTGATGGTTGGTCATCTCCCGTGATTTCCAAAATGGAATTTATATATTTTATTACTTTTATTGATGATCATACCCATTATATCTGGATATTTTCATGCAAGGGTTACTACACAGTTCAATGCTACTATTTGTACCCTTTGCTCAGATTCAGGGGGAGAGTAAATTGATGAGGAGTACTAAAGCAAAAATTCACTACATTTTCATTCCATTTGCCACCTGCTAGGAGGTTTGGGAGAGAGAAACAAGAGGATTTTTGAAGGGAGAATGAAAAGCTTGGAAGAAGTTTGGGAGGTGGGGGTGGGGGACACTTTCTTCTTTATCCGTTGGCTGAGTGTTGGTACTCCCAAAATTTGAGGGACTAAAGAAAGAAGATTTTGGTTCTGACTTTTGGCTTACTCCAAATGAGGAGTTTTAGACATATCTGCGACAACATAGTATACAATTCTAAAGATCTTGTCCCAGAACTCCTCAACAAAATGAAGTGGCTAAACACAAGAATGGCCATATCTTAAGTGTTGTCAAAACCCTAATCAGGGATTCCCATGCTCCAACAACCTTCTGGGTGGAGGGCCTGGAGGTGGCCAGCACTGCTATGCATCTCGTTAATTTATTTTCAACTCCCCTCCTAAATTCTCCATGCTACATGTCTTTGTATGTATCTATTTTGTGCATCTTCTCATAAGTGTCTAAGTTGTCAGTTCAGTCTGTTTTGTGTGCTTTAATGGGTTATAGTCCAGATCATAAGGGATTTTTCTGTTATAATCTAAAGTCTTGTTGAACTCAAATTTCTTGAAATGTGATTTTTCTTGAAAATATCTCTCTTTGAACATGTTACAAAACTCCCTGCACTTTCAATATCAATCTCGCAACACTTTGTGCTTGTAGGTACTTTTGAAGCATCTCCTCCTTTTCAGCTGCCACATCAAACTTATTTCAGGATGTGGATAGCTGCTCAAGTCCCTACACTCCTAACCTCTGTTACTGATTCAGGGCAGAAACTGTTTACCTCATATAAATTCTTGACTTTATTCCAAACCTCAAAGGAGAAGCCACAGTGAAGTAGCAGATGGTTTACTGACTCGGTACAGTTCTGACAAAACACACAGACAGTTGTGTCTAACAGCATACCCTTCTTTTCCAGATTATCACTAGTTATTTTTTTTTCTTTTTTATCCATTTTTGGTGCTCATGATCGTTTAGCAAGTGAAAAGTTTTTTTTTTTTTTTCCATCAAAGTAGTTTAGATTGAAACAAACTCAAGAATCAGTGCATGTGACAAACCAACCAATCTGATTGTCAGGTTCAACTACAAATTGAAAACATTAAATATAAACTACAAGCAAGAAATATTTGAAACTAGGTTTATAGGTCATAAGGCAACAAATCCACCACTATACTATGCTCACATAACTTGCCTTTGTTACATGGGTTCTAATAAGGACAGTATAATAATATTAACAACAAAAACGATAATAAATAATAATAATAATAATAGTCATCTGAAATTACCACGTGCAATGCACATGCAAATTTGCTAATGTAGCCAAAAGCTCTAGGACATACATTGGGACAAGTTAAAGTGAATTTAGACTTGACACCTACTATCATTATAAGGTTGACCAATTATGCCTAATTCCACAAATTCACAGACTTATAACAATATACAGCAGAAGTCATCATCTAAAAAGTAACATACATTATCAGGTGGTTGAATTAAATTGCCCAAGACAAAAACATTACCCAACTTGATGTGAAAAGGATTCCAGCCTAAATAAATGTACGGTTGTATTAACCAGGCTCAGCTAAGCCCAGTCAAGTTTCACACCATGCATAATAGCTATTTTCAATATGCTATTGATATATATTATTATAAATCTGCACAAATCTCCATAAGTTGGACTTGTCCAAATAAATATAATAAGGCATCCCACAATGTGTTGGTTGTCACAACCATTCTGTATCTGAAGCAACAGGATCCCCTACAAGCAAAAACTCTGCACACTCTGAAAGCAGGGGCATCCACCTACACATTGGGAACATTTCCTCGTGAATTCAACATACATGCATGGGAGATATTGATGTACAGTTGGATGTTGTGTGAGCAGAGTTTTTGCTTGTAGGAAATCCATGCCCGTATCCACAACATTAAGTTTTTAAACAAGTTTTTTTTTTGAGGATTTTTGCTTGTGATTTTCCAATTTTTCCCTCGATGTTGTGATACTAGGACCGGACCAGACAATTGAATGACTAGAAACAAGAAGTAGCAACCAAAATGGTTTTCTGGTTGCCTGGTTCTTAGAAATGTCAACTTGGTCAAAGTAACCCATTTAAATGTGTTAATATGCGTTATGCCCTACAATATTTATTTTTAAGTGAATTTTGATTAAAATATCTTTAAAAGACAATTTAGAACCATTTTCAAAAATTTTCAAATTTTATTTTTTTCACATTTTTTGTTTGAACAAGTTGAATAATTGAACTAGGCAGTCAAACTGTTAGACCTGTGACCCAATCAACAAAACGATTTTCTATTTAGTCCAAGTTTGACAACTTTACTAGCATCCTAGAATTTGCATATCTATGAAAAAAGCTATTATATTATTACGCACACCTGAGGAGCCCTTGTTATGTTAACTTTAGACCCAAGCCAAGTCTTGCACCATGAGAGGGAATGGTAAGGTACCTGTAAATGAATTTGGTTTACTTTTGTTTGAAATATATAATATGCAATATATATATATATATATGCTTACTTCAAAACACTAAATTGTTTATTACCGTCTCATCACCACTTGCAAACCCTGGATTTCCATCAACCAGATTCCCGGACCTAGCAAGAATAATAAGAGCATTCCCATGTCCATTCAAAAGAATGAATAAAACCTTCCATTTAAATCTCACATTCTATACAAAGTATAGTTTGAAAAACTTGTCTAATAGTACAATGAAAATGTTAAAAACTAATATCCATATCAGTAAAGAAGTTTCTTGATAATATTTGTATATTCATTTAGTTTCTATTTGGACTCAGTCCCATATCATTAAATACTATAGTCAGTAGGGAGAACCTCTGGATTGGGAAAAAACTAGTCAAATGTAGCATAGCAGGGACCGACAAGTAGTAGTGGGATGAGGGTTGTGAAAATGCTCTAGGTATTTAGGTGGTCTGTTGTCATCTAAAATTCTTGGGTCTCCTTACAAGACGTAATTCCAAGGATGTATCTTTTGGGACCCATGGTTGAGAGATCCTTAGTGGTAGGACTATCTTGATTTAGTTCACTCTGATGTGTGAGGTCCTTCACCATTGTTTCTATGGATGGCTATCACTGTTTTATCAGTTTTATTGATCATTTCTCAAGGTGTACATGGGTTTATCTTATGAAAGAATGTAAGGAAGTCCCTAGAATCACTATGATATTTTGTAAGATGATTGAAACCCACTTTGGAAAGAAAGTTAAACAATTCAAGTCAAACAATGTAGCTGAATATTTTAAGAATACCTTGAACTTATTCTTTGAAGATGAAAGGACTCTACACCAATACTCTTATAGTTATACCCCACAGTAGAATGGGGTTGCAGAGAGGAAAAATAGATATCTTGTGGAGAAAACTGGTGTTTTATTGTTCCAACACAAGGTTCCCAAGAAGTATTGGTCTCATGCAGTACTTACTGCATCATACTTAATAAATAGGATGCCATCCAGGATACTTGGGATGAAAAGTCCATTCTCTGTTCTTTTTCCTAATGATCCTATGTCTCCAGACCACCAAAAGTTTTTGGTTGTGTCTATTTTCATTCATGTCAAGGATCCAAAAACAGCCAAGTTGGATCCGAGGGCTATTCGAGGGGGGGGAGGTCCTTCTGTGAGACACAGTCTCACAAAAGATGTTACCTTTTGTGAGACACAGTCTTTCTTTGAACCTTCTCGGAATCCTCTTCAGGGGGAGAATTGTGGGGTGGAAGAGAATTCCTTAGAAGCTAGTCTATTTGTTTGTCTCTGCTCCTCTTCCATCCTCTCCTCCTAATCCTCATTGTTTTGATGGTGCTTGTTCTACCTAATGCAGGAGCTGAAGAATGAAATTTGGAATTTTCTTAAATTTTCTATAGTTTTGTATACTTGGACAGTATGGGTATTTTCGTCATTTTAACTAGTCCTGTGTGGGGCCTAGGCTATAATATCTTGTTCCTCTAGTTTAGTAGGGCCTGTCTTTCAATTTTCAGTTTATTTGCATTAGTAGATAGAAAGTTATTGTGTTTCTTGATGCACAAGACAAGGAAAGGCATTTTTGTAATTATGGTGAACAGTATTCCGGGCCACACATGTCACTCTATAAATAGATGTATTCTCTTCCTTTTGAAGCTAATGAATGAATGAATGAAGATTTCTTAAGAGCCCTTTTTCTATATGGAGTAATTCCTACAAACCTTAGAGTGATTCTAGGACCCCTTGGAGTGATTCCTTGGGATTTCTCTCTCCTTTCTCTTCCTCTACCCCTTCTCCTCTCTCTCTCTCTCTCTTCCTCTCTCTTCCTGTCTTGTGTTAGTTTGTTCCAACCCTACTGCATCAGTTTTGGTATCAGAGCTAATGGTTAGTCACCATGTTCTTACAAAGTGACCAATTCTATTGGCCTAGGGTATCTTAAACAATCTCATGGGTCTAGAATCAATGATGATAAGGTTTTTGAACCATATGAAGGGTCTATGGTTGATTTACTTAAGAAATTGGTGGAAGAAAGTAGATCTAGTAACGTTGGATATAGGAGTAAGGTTTTCAAGAATGTTAGAAGAGAAAGGGAAGTGCCTAATTTCAAGGGAGATGAAGACAAACAAGCATTCTTTAATTGTATTGCTATACTAGAAGAATATTTCGATTGGCATGATATGTCTGAAAACAAAGATTTAGATTTACATGCATGAAGCTTGCGGGTATTTCTAAAGTATGCTGGATATCCTATTACCATGATGATCTATATGTATTTGCAAGAAAAGTACATCCCACAATACTTTCATGATGATCTATATGTGGAGTTGACTAATCTCAAGCAAGGTATGCTATCTGTAATTCAATATACGCATAAGTTTGATGAATTATATATTAGATGTGACATTATAGAAATGGAAAGGCACAAATTAGTTCGTTTCATGAATGAACTCAGGGATGATATCAAGAATGAATTGTGTACAATTCAGATTTATGACTTAGATCATGCCTTTGAATTGGCTCTTAAGATAGAGAAGAAGCAGCTGATTACAACAAATAATTTGAATCCAATGAGAAGAAAGTACAAAATTGAAGATAAAGAAGATGATTTCTTGCAATGTTGATGCCCATCATGGAGCTAAAGTTGTGAATGAAGAATTTCAACCTATAGAAGTTGTAAACATTGAAGATCAAAAGGGTGCAGGCCAAGAAAAGATTAGAATTGTTGAAGAGATAGAAGTGGAGCAAATTGAAGAAATTCAGGTGCAAGATGCAAATGTGTTGGTTGTAGTAGATGTTAGTGAGGAAGTAAGTCATGACTTTACAAGTTCAACTGGAACCAATTCAAGAATTACAAGTTGACATAGTACAAGTTCCAACAACATCAATAATGGCAAAAGTTCAAGAGCTTGTTGAAGAACCAAGGGGAGCTTAACAAATAGAGATGGAGATTTCTCAACTAGAGATTGAAGGAAAAGTTCCAAATGCTGCAGTTGAGATTTTGGATATGAAAGTTCATAGTGATAAGCAAGGAGAAGATTCACCACAAGATAGGTTGATTGGTGATGTAAGTGGTCAAGAAGCTAATGCTATTGATTATTTAACAATGAAGGTTATAGAAGGCAGTATTTCAGATATACATTGTTTTCAATATTCATTTATAGCTATGTGTATGACATCTACTCTACAGTCCAAGTATTTTGAAGTATCTATGGGAATTACTACTTTTGTCATTGAGGTACATCAACTTTTCACCCTCAAGTTCTTCAAAACTCAAAGACGATTTTTTTTGAACCAGGGGAGAATAATGCAGGAGCTGAAGAATGAAATTTGGAATTTTCTTAAATTTTCGATAGTTTTGTATACTTGGACAGTATGGGTATTTTCGTCATTTTAACTAGTCATGTGTGGGGCCTGGGCTATAACATCTTGTTCCTCTAGTTTAGTAGGGCTTTTCTTTCAATTTTCAGTTTATTTGCATTAGTAGATAGAAAGTTATTGTGTTTCTTGATGCACAAGACAAGGAATGACATTTTTGTAATTATGGTGAATAGTATTCCGGACCACACATGTCACTCTATAAATAGATGCATTCTCTTCCTTTTGAAGCTAATTAATGAATTAATGAATGAATGAAGATTTCTTTAGAGCCCTTTTTTTGTATGGAGTGATTCCTACAAACCCTAGAGTGATTCTAGGACCCCTTGGAGTGATTCCTTGGCATTTCTCTTTCTCTTCTCCTTCTCTACCCTTCTCTTCTCTCTCTCTCTTCCTCTCTCTTTCTGTCTTGTGTTAGTTTGTTCCAGCCCTACTGCATCACTACCACTTCAGTTACTACTACTCCTACTATACAAGATGATGAGACTTCTCCTGCTAAATAAAATGATGAGATTGCTCCTAACGATGACAAGACTGTTGAGAAGGAGATGAGTGTGCATTTGAGGAAAAGGAAAAGAGGCCCATCAGTTGATGACTACAACCGGCTAGATGTCTCTAAAGCTGACCAAGCTACTATCCATGTTTCTTCTAACTCTTATTTGAATCTTCCTACTGCTTTGCGGAAACCCACTCGGTTTTGTACTCTTCACCCTATAAATAAGTTTGTTTCTTACTCCCATGTCTCTCCAACATATTATTCCTTCGTTTCTACCTTGTCTTCTATTTCCACTCCTAGGTACTCTGAGATGGTTGTTAATCCTAAATGGAGGAAAGCAAAGGATGAAGAAATTAAAGCATTACTAAAGGCTAGTACTTGGGAATTGGTGGATCTACCAGTTGGAAAGAGCAAAATTGGATGTAAATGGGTGTACACTATGAAACATAAAGCTATGGATCAATAGAGAAATATAAAGCAAGGGTGGTGGCAGAAGGATTCATGTAGAAGGAGGGCAAAGACTATACAAAGACCTTTGCTCCAGTTACCAAGTTGAACACCATATGGGTGTTGCTTTCTCTAGCATCTAATTATAGTTGGAAATTGCACCGGTTGGATGTCAAGAATGCACTTTTGAATGGAGACCTTCAAGAGGAAGCTTATATGGATCTTCCACTGAGTTATAATATGAGTGGGAAAGTTTGCAGGTTGAAGATGGCTTTGTATGGATTTAAGCAATCTCCTAGAAGAAGTGGAGAGAAATTATCAGCATTGATTGTATATGTTGATGACATGGTAGTGACACGAAATGATTTAGAGGAGACCAAAGGGCTTAAGAAGTTTTTGGCCTCAGAGTTTAAGATAAAGGGCTTGGGACCTCTAAGGTACTTCCTAGGAATAGAGATGGCTAAATCTAGGGAAGGAATTTATATTTGTCAAAGTATGCCTTGGATCTACTAAAGGAGACAGGGAAATCAATGAGTAGGCCTATTGAAACCCCTATAGAGCAAAACCATGGATTACAAAAAAAGGATGAGAATCTTTACTCAGACAAGGAAAGATACCAACAACTTGTGGGTAAATTTCTCTATCTATCTCTCATAGACCTGATATTGCTTATGTTGTCCATGTTGTTAGACAACCTTGAGTTTCACACATGAAAGTAGTGGAGAAAATATTGAGGTATTTGAAGACATGTCCAGGAAAAGGATTGTTGTTTAAGAAGCATGATAAACTTAATGTAAAAGCCTATAC